ATGAGTAAGTTTGTCTTTTTTTATGAATGTTTTTATTCTATATCAATATAGTTTTGAATGCATATGTGAATATTTTTTTAAAAAATCCATTCCTAAAAAATACTTTTCCATTCTCATAAACCATTTTATGAGAGTTCAAAATATTTTTAATTTATATGAATAAAGCAAAATTAGAAATTATTTTAAAAAGTAAAGCTAAACAATCATCAACTTTGAAATATTTTCAGCTAAAAACTTAAAATGTGATATTGCTTCCCAAATTTTGAACCAACAGTCTGTTGCTAACATAAAACAAGATTCTACTAACAAACTAATACAAATGTTTTAGACTAGGAAAAATGCGTTAATATTGACTTATCTGAAACACAGTAAAACTTAATCTTACGAAAACATAAATCCTAAGATGAATACGCTATTTTGTTTTTATTTGAAAGTACTCTGAATTACTAACTCATCCTCCATGTTGTAATTTTACAGTATATTAAACTAGCTAACGGGGGGGAGGGGACGTGCCTTCAAGTATAAAAAGAAAACCATCACTTTAAATTAATCATTTATATCTTAAAGGGAAACTTAATTTTAATGTTACCTTCAACTACTTTCTATATTGGGCTTCTGTTGAAGTTAAAAAAAAAATCAAGTAGGAAGTATACAATTATAAAAAATGTAATTTTAAATGCTACAATAAATTTGTGAATTTTTGAAATAAACGTAAAATACTATACCTGAAGATACATACATGAAGTTAAATCTGAAAAACTGAAGGGATATGAGGCTCTTCTGGATAAAACTGGTACCAAAAACATCCATTACTACTTTATCTTATTTTGGCATTCAAATTCATCTAATTAACCAAATCACTATCTTTACCATATTTTATGGTACCAAAACCAAACAATAAAACCAGCCCAGTGATACAATAGTTACAGAAGTTGAAGCAAATTATTTTTCCAATAGAAGCCCTTTTCTAAGAGAAAGGACCCAAATAAATAAAATCATGAATGAAAGAGGAGAGATCACAACTAACACCAAAGAAATACAGACAATCATAAGAACATATTATGAGCAACTCTATGCCAACAAATTTGACAATCTGGAAGAAATGGATGCATTCCTAGAGACATATAAACTACCACAACTGAACCAGGAAGAAAGAGAAAGCCTGAACAGACCCATAACCAGTAAGGAGATTGAAACAGTCATCAAAAATCTCCAAACAAACAAAAGCCCAGGGCCAGACGGCTTCCCGGGGGAATTCTACCAAACATTTAAGGAAGAACTAATTCCTATTCTCCTGAAACTGTTCCAAAAAATAGAAATGGAAGGAAAACTTCCAAACTCATTTTATGAGGCCAGCATCACCTTGATCCCAAAACCAGACAAGGATCCCATCAAAAAAGAGAACTTCAGACCAATATCCTTGATGAACACAGATGCAAAAATTCTCACCAAAATACTAGCCAATAGGATTCAACAGTACATTAAAAGGATTATTCACCACGACCAAGTGGGATTTATTCCAGGGCTGCAAGGTTGGTTCAACATCCGCAAATCAATCAATATGATACAACACATTACTAAAAGAAAGAACAAGAACCATATGATACTCTCCATAGATGCTGAAAAAGCATTTGACAAAGTACAGCATCCCTTCCTGATCAAAACTCTTCAAAGTGTAGGGATAGAGGGCACATACCTCAATATTATCAAAGCCATCTATGAAAAACCCATCGCAAATATCATTCTCAATGGAGAAAAACGGAAAGCTTTTCCGCTAAGGTCAGGAACACGGCAGGGATGTCCGTTATCACCACTGCTATTCAACATAGTACTAGAAGTTCTAGCCTCAGCAATCAGACAACAAAAAGAAATTAAAGGCATCCAAATCGGCAAAAAAGAAGTCAAACTGTCACTCTTCGCAGATGATATGATACTCTATGTGGAAAACCCAAAAGACTCCACTCCAAAACTGCTAGAACTGGTACAGGAATTCAGTAAAGTGTCAGGATATAAAATCAATGCACAGAAATCAGTTGCATTTCTCTACACCAACAACAAGACAGAAGAAAGAGAAATTAAGGAGTCCATCCCATTTACAATTGCACCCAAAACTATAAGATACCTAGGAATAAACCTAACCAAAGAGACTAAGAATCTATACACAGAAAACTATAAAGTACTCATGAAAGAAATTGAGGAAGACACAAAGAAATGGAAAAATGTTCCATGCTCCTGGATTGGAAGAATAAATATTGTGAAAATGTCTATGCTACCTAAAGCAATCTACACATTTAATGCAATTCCTATCAAAGTACCATCCATTTTTTTCAAGGAAATGGAACAAATAATCCTAAAATTTATATGGAACCAGAAAAGACTGCGAATAGCCAACGGAATATTGAAAAAGAAAGCCAAAGTTGGTGGCATCACAATTCCAGACTTCAAGCTCTACTACAAAGCTGTCATCATCAAGACAGCATGGTACTGGCACAAAAACAGACACATAGATCAATGGAACAGAATAGAGAGCCCAGAAATAGACCCTCAACTCTATGGTCAACTCATCTTCGACAAAGCAGGAAAGAATGTCCAATGGCAAAAAGACAGCCTCTTCAATAAATGGTGTTGGGAAAATTGGACAGCCACATGCAGAAAAATGAAATTGGATCATTTCCTTACACCACACACAAAAATAGACTCAAAATGGATGAAGGACCTCAATGTGAGAAAGGAATCCATCCAAATCCTTGAGGAGAACACAGGCAGCAACCTCTTCGACCTCAGCCGCAGCAACATCTTCCTAGGAACATCGCCAAAGGCAAGGGAAGCAAGGGCAAAAATGAACTATTGGGATTTTATCAAGATCAAAAGCTTTTGCACAGCAAAGGAAACAGTGAACAAAACCAAAAGGCAACTGACAGAATGGGAGAAGATATTTGCAAACGACATATCAGATAAAGGGCTAGTGTCCAGAATCTATAAAGAACTTAGCAAACTCAACACCCAAAGAACAAATAATCCAATCAAGAAATGGGCAGAAGACATGAACAGACATTTCTGCAAAGAAGACATCCAGATGGCCAACAGACACATGAAAAAGTGCTCCATATCACTCGGCATCAGGGAAATGCAAATCAAAACCACAATGAGATACCACCTCACACCAGTCAGAATGGCTAAAATTAACAAGTCCGGAAATGACAGATGCTGGCGAGGATGCGGAGAAAGGGGAACCCTCCTACACTGTTGGTGGGAATGCAAGCTGGTGCAACCATTCTGGAAAACAGCATGGAGGTTCCTCAAAATGTTGAAAATAGAACTACCCTATGACCCAGCAATTGCACTGCTGGGTATTTACCCTAAAGATACAAACGTAGTGATCCGAAGAGGCACATGCACCCGAATGTTTATAGCAGCAATGTCTACAATAGCCAAACTATGGAAAGAACCTAGATGTCCATCAACAGACGAATGGATAAAGAAGATGTGGTACATATACACAATGGAATACTATGCAGCCATCAAAAGAAATGAAATCTTGCCATTTGCGACGACGTGGATGGAACTAGAGGGTATCAGGCTTAGCCAAATAAGTCAATCGGAAAAAGACAACTATCATATGATCTCCCTGATATGAGGGAGAGGAGATGCAACATGGGGGTTAAGGGGGTAGGAGAAGAGTAAATGAAGCAAGATGGGATTGGGAGGGAGATAAACCATAAGTGACTCTTAATCTCACAAAACAAACTGAGGGTTGCCGGGGGGAGGGGGGTTGGGAAGTGGGGTGGGGTTATTATGGACACTGGGGAGGGTATGTGCTATGGTGAGTGCGGTGAAGTGTGTAAACCTGGCGATTCACAGACCTGTACCCCTGGGGAAAAAAATATATGTTTATAAAAAAATAAAATTAAAAAAAAAAAAACAAAGCCCTTTTCTAAATTGTACACAATAATCTCTAAGATCTGGTGAGGTTTGGGGGAAGGTAACACCAAAAGATTCAAAGAAATTAGATTATAAAGATTATAAATTATCTGCTCTAAAATCACATACCACAGATTAATTTTTAAAGTAAAAATATGAAGTCTCCCTGCCTTGAATAAACTTTAAGATATCAGATTTAAACTCCTATTCCTACTCTAGAAATTACTTCCTAACCTCAAAAAAAAAGTTACAATATCAATACACTAATATATATGTACCAATGATAAATTTGTCCCCAAGTAGCTTAAAATATTTCTAAGTTTTCTCAAATATTCTCTAAATCACCAAATCCCTAGTTCTTCAAAATTATTTGGCATACATTGACTTTAAGTGCAATTGTATGATTTTATGGTTCTATCTTTACAACAAAATACTCTGAATTTGCACAGTAAATGTTTACTTGTAACAAATTCTAATTCACATGTAACAGCACTGGCAAGATATCTCCCTACCCCCACCCTCCCACCAACTAAACAGTAGTGTTCTTGAAGATCACAAGTATCTATAACCACCAAAAATATAAAGCCAAATTAAAAATAGATACAACTGCCAAATAAAGTGGAAGAAAAATCTCATTGCATGAGCTAAAGAAGAGGAAGAATGGGATTAAGTTGGACTTCTCTTCCATATTCTACTATGAAGTGTCAGTCCTATAAGCACCTATATTTTCCTGGGAATATGGTTGTGTAGCATTGACTATATATTATCCATGACTGCAATGAAGACTCTAAAAGTAATGACCGAAACAAAGGCTTTAGTCAGGAAAGACACCTGAAAGATGTAAATAATGGTGAAATAGCTAATGACTGAAAATATAAGCAAAGAATGGTTTATCAAATATTTAAAATGCTTTAGGAGTGAACCCCATTTCCTAAATAACCTTTCTGAAAACAAGTCATCCTAATTCCTGGTCACTTAAGATTTCTGTAACATTCTAATCACTGTCTGCTGGGAAAATAAGCTGAACAATCTAGATGGCTTTCAGATACTTTAAATATTAGAAATTGTTATATGCTTACCACTTTTATTATATATTTGGAGCATCTAAAACAAAACAGTAATTACTGGGTATCCTATATATTATTTGTTGCCAAACTGATGCATAAAGGATCTGAGCTTTCATCTCCCTGCACTGAAAACAAGCAAAAAAGAATAATTAGTATTTCATATAAGATTTTTCCAAGCATTATGGGTTTCATTAATAGTCAAGACTATTTTGAAAATTCCTACTATAAACAGAATTTTTAACTAATTTCTAAAGTCACAATTTAAAAAGGTAAAGAACAAATGAAATATGGCATACAAATTACATACTCATATATATACATAATTATACATATAAATAAAAATATTTTATTACTAATATATATCCATTTTGGAAAAAATACATATAGCCTATTCTAATCTTTATTTAGAACTATAATTCTCTCAATCAGAAATCCTATCTTCCAAACAGATGTAACCATTAATCTAACCACTATACTGCAAATATGCATGTTCATATATACAGACACACGCTGTCCTAAATATTGCAATTTCATGCAGAGAAGCATCAGCAGTTTTTCAAGTTACTATTTCACAAAAGATTTTAAAAACAATTGTAGCTTTATTAAGATGGCTATTTCTAAAATTAGTGAGCATGTATTTTATACCAGATACTAACAGGTTTTACATGTTTTAACTTACATTGCCCTCATAAGCAGCAAGTGGCATTCATTATTAGCTTCGTATTACAGATGAAGAAACTAACTGAAGAAAGATACATGTTAAAAAGCCTACCTCCAGTTTCACAGTTAAGGAATGAAACAAGAATGAAAACTCAGGGAGGGTGCCTCACTGCCCATACTTTTAAATACCATGCTAGATCCAATGTAAGTGATTATTAAGTATGTATCACTTACAAATCTTCTATTTTCAGAATTCAGTCTAACGTTTTATATGCCTGTCAGCCATTCCCCTTTGGATATCTAGCTATATCATCTCAAATGTAAAAGGTCAGACAAATCTCTCCTCAAAACTGGGCTGCCATTCCAGACTTCTTTCAAAGGTGTCCTCCAGTTAAATAAACAACTGTAGGAAAGTAGCACATATCAGCATCAAACATTGCCTCATTACCAGAGAGTAACTAGACATTTTTGCATTTTTTAAAAGGGTTATTACATTCTCTGATTTCCATAATTATCTATTCAAGGACGTCCAGGGAAAAAGCAAGTGAGCAAGCAACGACAGCAAGAACATCCCAGAAACGGACTAATAACTTATTTTGAAAAGAGTCTGCAAATAAAAACAATTAGCTATTTTAATATTGATATGTTACAGTAGGTTGAAACTACGGGAAAGTTAAGCCCATTATCTAACTGTAAGTGGCAGCAACTTCTATAATTAAAACAATACCAGGACAAAATAAATGGATTATACTTCAAGGCCATTTCTAACACAATGACACTCTAAGTTTAGCGCAGAATTACTGTGATTCATTGTGTATAGTTTGGACTCCAAACACCAGAAGGATAGATTCTACGAGTTTTCAGAGTCCAGAATTAGTGTTTTCTCTCAAAAATAATTCAGGAAGTTGTCCACAGTCATCTTCGGAATAGGGGTTCTCGACCTTGGCTATACATTAGAATCACCTGGGGAGTTTTAAAATCCTGCTAGGGAGACCACAGAATGACCAATTAAAAAAAAAAAATCTCTCTAAAAGTGAGGCCCAGGCATCAGAATTTTTTTTAAGCTTCCTTTCTTAATGTCAGTGCAAAACCCTGAGTGAAAAAGCACAGCCATTAGACCCACTTTTCTAGATTCTTCAACAGGCAAGGGAGTATCAAATATTGGTAACTTTAACCCAGAAGAAAAAAAAAAAGACTATTTTGCCCCAGATTCAGAGCAGAGAGTAAACAGCAGTGGCTCCCACAGTGCTGCCTTTGGACGAGTAGTAACAAATGTTAGGAGCGTTGACAGTACTCAAGGCAATGAGACCATCTGACATTTTCTCATTTTGTTTTAAAACGGAGAATAGCAAGTCCATTAGTAAGTTCTTAGTCCACATAACCATGTTTCTTCTATTTGTCTCAAAGTTATGATTTTCCCCTAAATGAAACTTCAGGTTCTATTTTTTAGAACTGTAATTTGACGTTTGGACTACTTTTGTAATAGCTACTTCCACTTAACTCACTCACTGATTCACTGTGTGCTAGGCATGCAGGAGGTGGATGGAAATAGGGGTTCACAGTGGGGTCTTAGAGAATTTGATAAGAAAAACATGGAGGTAGAAGCATACACATGTGAAGTAGTAAAAGAAATTATGTAAGTACTAAGATGCATGGGCAGAGGGCCAAAAGCTTATTGAAAACTCTTCCTCAAATGATATCACTGCTTTGCAAAAGGCAGTATGATTAACAAAAAACTTTGGAGTTGGAGACACAGTTGCTAGTAAATAAGGAGCTGAGATTCTGTCTTTATATCCAAAGGAAAATAAAATTTTCCTGAGCCTCATCCATAAAATACGGATAATTGGGGGGGGGGTCATTCTTCCCATTCCTTAGGTATCCTTCCATGTAGAAGTATTCACAGCTGAGGCACTCTCCTAGCCTAACACTGCTCTGGTTTGTTTCCTCCCTTACTTACACCAGGAGTAGGACCAATCTGATTGGTCCACTTAGAAGGACAAATTCCTCTATTAGTTTAGCCTGTTCCTCCTCCCTCCCTTTTTGGAGATAAATGCCTCAAGCCACAGTTTTTACATGGGTAGACTCCTCCATATAGAGAAGTTCTCCTCTGTGCCTGTGCAGATAAGTCTAAATTATTGATTCAGTGTTGGTAAGCCCATTTTACCATTGATATAAACCCACACTTATCATTATTGTTTTTTTTTTCAATAAATGTGATATTTTGCTCACCAATTGTTTCTCTCCTTGTCCCTCTCTAAAGTGGTTTAGAATTCAGGCAAAGAAATGGGTACTAGTTATCTGACTCCAGAGTTTGGTAAGCTTTAAATGAGGTAATATGTACAAAAATTTTAGTACATAACAACATAGTAAGCGCTCTACCATAACTGCTAGTCCAATACAAAATACTCAAAAATAAGAGCCAACTTTAAAGCATTTATCAACTCACTATAGAACACCTAAATATGAATTCAAATATTCTTTCTAAAATATATCAATAAAAACAAGATCTCTCCACACTGATTAAAAGAATGTAACGTGCTATAAGAGAGTTATAACATGAATAACAGATTCATTAAACAGGGAACATTTATAGCCTACAAAATCCTCAGTAACTAATCCCCACAGAAAATGAAATATGATGTGCATAAGCAAAATCAGACAATACCCTAGCTATAACATACTAAAATTTTATTATAGAATCAGTTTGACATCTAAAAATTTTAAGATGAAATAAGTTCCAGTTTATTCCATAAGTTTAACTACATTATCAATATGCCAAAGGCATACTTGAAAAACCTGAAGATACATTTCTTCTGATAAGAGGCCTGGTTCTTCAGAATGAGCCCAGGAGCTCACTAACAGCAAGATTTATTAACTTGAGCTCTATTGGGCTTTAGTTTTGTGAAACCCTTGAAATTATCTGTAGAATGTCATGTTATATGCAACTGATAAGTTGTTGAACACTACATCGGAGACTAATGATGTATTATATGTTGGCTAATTAAATTTAAACTTCAAAAATGTCATGTATGTGTGCATGCATATATGGTTAAAAATGCTCTCCACTTTTTACAATCTCAAAGGTCACCAAAATTCAAAAAAGAACTAGTCACATACCATTTTATAATTAAGTGATCAGTCCCAGTTTATCCATTTATTCAGATTTTCAGTAAGTTTCCTTGCAATATGATATTTTCAATTTGGATAATTGACATATAATAAGCTTTTAAAGAATCAAAAATGGAATCTACAAAAAAGGGTATCTTTTTTAAAATAGCTACTTACCATTTAAGTATTCCTCTGATACTATTTTTTCATTAGCATGCAATGCTTTTACTGTTATTCTCAAATCCATTGTGTTCTTTTCCTGTATTTCTTCAGTTGGTACTTTTTCAAAAATGTTTTCAATGCAGTTGGTGTTGGTCTTTAAACCATTAGGTAGTTCCCAAAATGAAGCTGCTGAACACGTATCAAACATAGCAGTACTTTGGGGATTATGTTTTCCAAAGTCAGCCTTCTTCCTCAGAGCTACGTTTTTGGAATGTAATCTTTTACTGATACGGCTTTTCCTTAAGAGGTTCTTACAGACCTCTTTCTTCTTTACAGTTTTCTCTTTCAGCTTTTGTTTCTCAGTGCATGTACGACTTATATTTTCTCTTTGGTAACAATTTTCATCTAACAGTGGGAGAACAGGCTTACTCTGTAACGGATATTGGACTTTAGTAGGTCCAGTAGTAGTACTTCCATCATTAAAAGGGTCTGAATCTTTAGAATATACTGCAAGACCAGATGCAACTAACAAATCTGCCAAGTTATTTTTCTTATGAAGGACATCTACTGTCAGTTTTGTTTCAAAATTATGCTTCCTAAACTGAAAAACTAAGCCTGGTTTACTTAGGAAGTTTTGAAAGAAACTTTTCACTTCTTCATCCCAGTGTTGCTCTTTAGCAGGTAAGATACCATATAAGATACAAGGATAACTTAACCTTGGTATATCCAAAAGTTCAACAGGAACAACTTTCAGATTTTTTATATCTGAATAAGGTATGCAGACAGAAAATCCATAGTCGATCAACACAAGTAATAGGGACTGACTAGAGACTTCAGAGATTTCTACTCTATTCCACTGATCTTCCAAATTGTATTTGAACAAACAACTAGCACCAGGAGTTATGCACTCTAGAGGCACTGTTTGCAAGTTTTCTGGTAGATCAGAAAGCAACACAAAGAGCGATTTCATTGTGTCAAAGAAATCTTCTAACTGAACACAGAAATCTGATGGATCACAAACCGCAGTGGCAATACCTGAATACCGCTTTCCGTTTTGGAGTTGGGCCCAAGTATATGATCTCATTGTACAGGACAACACAGGAGTCAAATTAAAAATAGCTTCTGAAGATTTAAGTTTGTTTTCAGCATGAACTGTATTTAAGTTTAAGTATTCTAAAAGTAGCAGGCCATCTACCAAAATGTCGACTTTCCACACAGAGTTTAAGTATTTCAAGAAAAGAATACTTATTTCCAAGTGAGCAAATAAAGACACAATGGACTCAAATGACCGGTTTCTAAAATTTTCAAACCAAATCCACTTACAAGGCACAACTTGTCTTGGAATATTTCTAATCTCCTTACTGAGAAGCCTGATATTCCCTAAAGGTACTATTTCATACCTACCACGATCTACTAAAAAAACAAGCACTTTATCAACACATTTCTTTGCTACTTCTGATCTATACCATTTCAAGGTTTTTTTAGATTTTGCCAAGCACTCTAAACCTTTTTCAATATTTTCCACCGATAAAGAGGGTTTTTTTACTTCTTTATTGATGAATACTGTTAAATCTGATAAGATTTTTTTATTTTTGGATAACTTCACATAAAATGTCCCACTTTTTGAGACATAAAGTATCTCAGACTTTTCAAGTTGTCCAGGTATTAACTCTTCAAAAGGAATCTTAACCAGCTGTTGGCAAGATGGTTGAAGGGTCCCAGAACCTTCGCACTCCTTTGACTCTTTTTTCCTTTTGTTATCCTCCCGAGAGCTCACCTTTTGAGTGACAGCTGTAGGCAACTGCAGTACAGTCTTCTGTAGTTTTGAACAGGCTGTCCATTTCATTAGTTCATTAATGATACATGTTCCATCACAGATTATATTGACCTCCCATTTCTGCTCATGCTGCTTCAGAAATTCACAAGAAACGGTTTTGTTACTCACTCTTGACATAAAATAATCCACAGTTTTACTGTCCCATATTTCATCAGGCTCATGCCACTTGACCCCACTGAGAAAAGAATGGATTCCTAGCTGAGGGATGGTTAAGAATTCCCTCTGAAATTCATAAATTTTGGAGGTGCTTATTACCGCAGTGTTACCATAGTCAATAAACTCCACTTCAAAAGAATTTCCTGGCAAAATTTTCTTAATAACGGCTCTGTAAATGGCATGGTCACCAGAGTATTCTGCAACTACTAGGTCTCCGACCATAGGCTTCGTGGACTTTCTCTCTTTCACTATATTCAATCTTTTTTCATTTAGAGCATCTGCAAGTCTGAGGATTGCATTTTCATTCTCCGCAAGCTGGATATGGAAGCTTGCTGGATTACTGATATTAGAAACATATCCTTTAACTTTGGCATTCAAGTAAATCTGGGGTTGAGGAAGATCTTTGATCTGTGGTCTAGTAAGAGTAGATAGGTTTTGAGAAGCTGCTTGGTTTAGTTCTTGGATAAAAGACTGCGATATAACCCTTGTTGATTTGCAGCCCACATCATTTTCATCAAATCCAGAGACACTTTTTACACCTTTATTTTTTAGTCCATCATTCAAAGATTTCACTCTGTTTTTTGAGGCAGGCTCAATTTTATAACAAACTGATGGTTTCAAAAGCTTGGCATATGTACTTCCCGGATTTGTTAACTGATCTATTTTACTTTCAGAGTATGTTACTAGCTTAGTTTTATTTATCACATTATGGTGATGTTTTTTTTCTATTTTGCCTTTCAAAGAAACAGCAAGTCGCTTATTCTCACTCACTTTAGGACCCTTTTCCACATAGTGTGCTTGGTCACAGTGTTTTTTTCCATAAGCATGAAGCAACATTTTAATTTCCTGATTTATATGTTGACATCCATCATATAATTCTACACCAAGCTGGCCATCTGACTCCCTGGTCAATATTATTGCCCTTAATGGTTTTCCCAAGAAATTATCTTCAAACCAGCTACAGATTTCTACTGGAATATCTACATCTCTAAAATCTGACAAAAAGCACTTAATAGCTTGCATAGGTGTAAACAGCAACTCTGGAAACTGATCTGAGATAGCCCTCAATGTACTTTCTTCTACTAACTGCTTATTTCCGAAGTCTACAAAATAGACCAGAAAGTCAGTTAATGAGGCTGTTGGCGTTGCTAAAGCTCGGTAAGAGAGACCATCTTCTACATACTTAGATAAGCACAGTCTCATTTTACTAGGATCATATTTTGGATAATTTTTGAGGTTACTAATCTCTGTGATTTTTGTTTCTATCATCTCTAGGTCTTTATTATTTCTACTGAGTTGGCAATAAAACTTTTTAGGACTATAGATGTGAGAAATGTATATTTCTTCCTCACTTCCAATTTTTATGTTAAAGGAAGAATAATAGTAACTGTAAAGACTAACTGAAGATGGAAACGGCCTTGATAATGTATTATACTGTGCTGAGCCATGATTAATAAATTCTTTTGTACTAGTAAGTGGAGATTGTAAATCCACTAAGTTACATAAACAGTTTGGATATATAAGAACTAGGGCATAAATGACACAAGTCAATAATCCTCTAGATGAAGAAATAAAATTCCCAAAGTCTCTGCATGCTTCTCTTGTCCAACTGAATTTACAACTGATGGGTTCAACTAAATGGTTAAGACTACATCTGAAGGCTTGGCCTTCTAAAAAAAGGAAACGTGGGTTAATGGCACAAATATCTTTAACTAAAACCCTTTCTTGGTAACCATAATCAACAAATACCACGTCAAATTCTTTTCTTGATACTTGAGTCAAAATAGCAGCTCTATACCACTTCCCATCTTTGGAATACTTAGCAACACAAGCAATCTGCCCAATTTGATAAGGATCAGAATGAACGCTATAGTAATCCTGAATTTGTTCCATTAGCAATTTTAAGTCCTCTAACTTACATTGAAGCTGGCATGAAAAGTCACCTGGGCCATAATAAGAAGAACACTTGACTTCAAGCACTGTTCCTGGTTTAAACATGTATTCTTTATAAGGTTGTAGCAACTCCGGTCCCACAGACAAGGTGAAAGGATTTTTTAAATCTGAGAAATTAACAGCGGGGGATTTTAAAAAAGACAAGGTCCTTTCTTTTAGCTTATTTGAATGGTATTTTTTAGGTTTGGCTCCTTCAAGAAGGGCAGATAGGACTTTAATATTAACTTTGTTTTTAGGTTTTAAATTTAACACTGAATATTCACTTACAGATTTGGGACAATATTGTGGTTCTACTTCCCAATATTCTGCATATCCAGCTTGTAACATAAGAGAGACAACATCAGTATTTTCTGAGGCTTCAATACTCTGAATATTTACAATGTACTTGTCATCTTTTTTTGCTGTAACTTGAAGCAAAATTGCTTTGTTCAAGACTATTTTTTTAAAATAGTCAGTTGCTGCCTTCACCCATAAGTCTTCAACAGGAAATATATGTGCAAGTGAACAGCACATAGCTAAGGCAGGCAACTCACAAAACTCTGGAAGCAAAATTTTTACATCAAAAAATGGTATGGAATCAGTATTTCCATAATCTAAAAAATAAACATTAATCTTGTAACCATTAATTTCAGTGATGACAGCTCTATAAAAATGTCGGTCTCTGCTATATCTCGCACAACAAAATAATCCAGGTTCTGGATTTCTTAGAATCAGTTCGTCATTTTCACACGAATCATAAGATTTGTTTATATTTTTCATTAGATCTTGAAGTTCATTCTGATGTTCATTAGTGCGTACCCAGAAATTTGATGGGTTTAATACATAGGCCACAAAAGCTACATAGGCAGCTTCTATCTCCATGTTTACAGTTTTAATAGGAAAACCTATTTTCAAAGTGTTTTTATTTGAAGAGCTTATTGATGGTTCTGTATTTCCAGTAAAAGAGTCAACCACACTGTTTACATCAGAAGCACTAGTCTCCTTAAACATATTAGAGATCTTTGATTCAGACACTGGACAGAGTACTTGTGTGCCTACAGTCTTCAGCAGACACTTAGAATTAATTGTAGACTCCTGAGTTTGTAGCGTTACATAATACAAATGTTCATCCTTATTGAAACAATCAATGTGTGCATATACTGTTTGTCCTAACAAAGCTTGTTTAAGAACACGCAGTTGAGATTTTCTGGCATCTCCATCTGGACTGTGTAAATAGGTCAGAGAACATGGAAACGAAAACAACGGTACTAAAATAAAATCCTGTTTAAGTTTCTTCACATGGATTGAGGGTATAGCCTCACTACTGCCATAATCCATGAACCAAATTTTCACTTGATTATTGGGCAAGAGCTGCTGAAGAATTCCTCTATGCCACTGTCCATTTCTCCTTTTGGCAACACAAAGTAGTCCAAAGTTATCACATGCGGGACTACTTTCTTGACTGACAGTATCATAATGCAAAGTCATACACACTGTTAAGTTTTCTAACTCTGGAATCCATTTAATTAGTTGACAATAAAATTTACTTGGGCTCAATGCAGAGGATACCTTTATACTTTCAACCCTGCCCACTGACAAAGATGGCTGCAAATTAGCCAGAATGTGTTGAATATCAAGTGAAGTATCATTATTACTTAATGATAAGTCAGGTCTTTTATGTTTCAGTAAATCTGGCATTTCCTGTGGGAATTCTTTTAACATTTCCACAATAAGGCGAAATGAATCCCCATCAATAAGTCTGCCTAATTGTAATTCAAGAACCTCGGATATAATTTTTGGCACTTCAAGAAGAATCGTTTGAAGAGGCAAAACAGCTTGCACACAACCTTTCACTTGTAGTCCTACTAATGACTTGAAATAATTCAAAGCCTTAGGAGGCCATCTTTCCCCAGTTGGTAGTATGTTGGCAAAAATACCAACTATTACCCTTGGTGGTAGCTCAAATAAGTTGCCACAGGCTGAAGCAACCTGTGTACCATCAACTCTTAGTTCTTCTCCATGATCTATGAGGAATACTGTATAGAGTTCATCTTTCTTTTCCATGACTCTTCCTCTCTGCCATTCTCCAGATACTCTTTCTTCAACCAAACAAAATTCATCAATGTCCACATTATTTTTTACTTTTGGAATATGCTGCATTTCTCTCTGTAATATGTGGTAGTCAAACTCACATTCGATATGATTTCTGCCTTGAAATTTCACCAGAATGTCCTTGGGAAGACATTCTACATGTGATATTGTCAGATTCATGTTTAAAGACGTCGGTAACAGAGATGTAGAATCCATTTTCTAAAAGCAAATAAGTATGAATTAGCTTCTAGACAGACCAATGTCAAAATTAAATAAGCCTTCTATAAATTTGAAATAAGTCTTATTTGGTATTTAAACATAATCCTTAAAATCCTTATATGCCTGGGGGCACCTGGGTGGCTCAGCTGGTTAAGTGTAAGACTTGATTTTGGAGGTGCCCGGGTGGCTCAGTGTGTTGAGCCTCTGCCTTCAGCTCAGGTCATGATCTCAGGGTCCTGGGATCGAGCCCCACATCAGACTCTGCTCAGCAAGAAACCTGCTTCTGCCTCTCTATCCCTGCCTCTCTGCCTACTTGTGATCTCTGTCAAATAAATAAATTCTTTAAAAAAAAAAAAAAAAGACTTGATTTTGGCTCAGATCATGATCTAAGGGTCATGAGACAGAGCCCTGTGTTAGGCTCCAGGCTAGGAGTGGAACCTGCTTAAGATTCTCTCTGCCCCCACCTCTTGTGCATGCATGTTCTCTCCCTCTCTTGTTCTTAAAAAGTTAAATAAAAAATTAAAAAGTTACATGCCTGTTTTTCTAAAATTGAACACACTGGGTTAAATAAATTGCACTGAACTAGACAAAAATGTATATATGCAACTTCACTACCTTCTGCTTTCAAAAAAATTCAGCTGAGATAACCAAGAGAACAGGGAAAATAGTATATATAATCACTGGAAAAGAGTAGAGAGCAATCTTTATTCCTTAGAAATTTCCAAGTTTCTACTGGATATTGGGCATATGTGGTATAATAGAAGGAGACCAAATAAAGTCTACTCGAAACCTCCTCCTACTGCTTTGGGAGGAACTGCTTTACTTCATGCAGACTTCTAACAACCCAGAACTCAAAGCGGTGAATGCTAGGAGCAAGGGCCGATGGTGAACCCATAGGAGACATAATTTTTGCACTCCCCACTTTGTCAATAACATTTGGACTCTATCAGCATCATTACACAACTCTAGATTCTTCTTTGAGGGCAAGAGGCTAAATCCTGGACACCATTAAGAAAAGCCAGGCATGGAAAGACCCTAAGGTATGTTAGGTACATCCAGGCTTTGTGACTGGCATGGCTGGCCACATAAAGTATAGAGGGAGAAGAGATCTTTAGCATCTATGCAAAGCTTTCTACTCGAACAATGGCTCCAGCTAATTTTCTCTAGATTGTTGGAATTCTAAAAGTAGTAAAACCAATATTCAAATATAAAATATTCCCCAAATTCAGGCACGAACCAACATTTGTTGTGATAGGACACAGCTCAACTCCTACTTGACCTGGAATTAACACTTCACAACTATAAATTTTGTTCTATGATGAGAAAAATACTGGACCTTAAAAAAAAAAAAAAAAGAGCAAGAGAGAAAACCATGTAAAAAACGAAGGAAATGCTCCCCTAAGGAATAAATACATTGAATGAAACAGCAAATAATTGTTCCTCACAAGTCTGACTTGTGTTTTCTAAAGGTCAAAAAAGAACACCACATTTTTATAGGACTATGTGGCCATTAAGATGCAGCAACGGAGATTAGGAAAAAATACACATAAGAAATATAAAACTGCAATGGGGAAAAAAAAAACACAAAGATAAATGAAAGAGAAGGAAATTGAGAGAATACCCCAAAACTCAGAAGATAAAAAGATAAAAAAAGATGAAAGAAACATGGAGGATGAGATTATAAAATCTTATGAAATTATAAATGTTCTCTCAGAGATAAACAGAACAGAAGCCCTTTCTAAGACTTAAACTCGAGCCTGAAAGCTGAAACTAGCCACAGGAAAGCTAGAGAAAGAGTTAAGATTTAGGGACATCTGAGTACTAACTATGGTTTTTATTTCTTCCTAGATAATTAATTTGATGATAATCATCATGGTCTGATCTACAGATTATAGCCTATGCTTATTTGATTCTGGAGTCTAAAAAAAAAAAAAATCATCATCTTCATCATCATCAGACTATACACTAAAGACTGTCATTGAATAAACCAAAACACTTTTAGGATAGGAAAGACCTTAAGCCCTGTTAAAGTGACAGTCCTTTTCCAATTCCCAGACTTCAGTCAGTGTATAGACCTATTATTCCTTACAAAGGGAAGACCAGGTACTCGAGAAAGGATCCTCTGGGGCGCTTCAGTGGCTCAGGTGGTTAAACAACAACCTTCAGCTCAGGTCATGATCCTGGGGCCCAGGGACAGTCCTGCTCAGCAGGCAGTCTGCTTCTCCCTCTGACCTTTCCCCTCTGGTGCTCTTTCTCTCATTCTCTCAAATAAATAAATAAAAATAAAATCTTAAAAAAAAATAGTAAAGAAAGGATCCTGTGCTATAAAGAACACAAAAACATTCCTCCTTGCATTCACCCAAAGGGTCATGTCACAATTCCCTTGAGTAAAACGCAAAAAGAAAAATACCTAAACCTTTCCGGAACCACACCACTCTAGGTATAAAAAGCAAATGTAGCCAGAAGGACTTCTTCATTAAATAAAGGGGTATATATAATATTAGCCCTATGAAAACACAAAGAAACTGAATGGCATGTTCCAACTACCAGGAGCCTATTCCTCCACACTGCTAACCCCCCCTCACACAATACAAATGGCCTCATGTGGCATTTCACAGCAGGAGGGAGAAAAAAAAGTCTGAGCCTGGTTTGCATATGCGCTCACCTAATGCCAGTAACACCTAGAAATATATTGCTGAAGTACTGGAGAGCCTTGCTTGAGAAACAAAATGAAATAGTCACAGTTGACAGTACAGTACATCTACTTTGCTGGAAGAAATTATTGGTGTTAAGAATCTATTCCATTAATGGACAATACCTTATGCTGCAGGATGATTAGTAATTCTGATGGGGAAAGACTGTGGGATTTACTAAAAATAAATCTGAAGAAGAGTAATGGGGATGAGCCCCTAAGAATCAACACATAAGTTTTTAAGTCCTGTGTGATGGCCGCCAAGTCCCCACTAAGTTTTGGGGTTTTTTTGTTTGTTTCTGTTTGTTTTTTTGAGGAATGGAGAAGCAGAGGGAGAGGAAGAGGAAGAGAGAATCTCAAATCTCCATGCTGAGCCTGAACTCACAACACTGATATCATGACCTGAGCCAAAATCAAGAGCAGGACGCCCAACTGATGGAGCCAGCCAGGCCCTGGAAAAGACTCTTGATCGGCAGACAGAATAACCTATTCTGTGGGTGTCAATCAGCTTCCTTCCCCTGCCTCTTCAATTCTTAATAGGATCATGAAGAAAGTTCCCAATGCCATGGATAAAGTTCCTACCCTTGTATTTTTGAAGCTCAAACTATAACAATTCAGAGAGAATTGAGGGGGGGGGGGGAAGATTAGGGCATTTAAGACCAAACATGATCAAATAATCTTCAACAAATCAAGAAAGAATATCTAATAGAAAAGACAGTCTCTTCAACAAATGGTATCGGGAAAAACGAATGGCAGCACATAGAAGAATGAAACCGGACCACTTTCTTACACTACACACAAAAATGGAAGACTTAAATTTGAGAGAGGAAATGATCAAATCCTGGAGAACACAGGCAGCAGTCTCTGACATGAACAGTCATAGCAACATCTTACTATACACATCGCCTGAGGCAAGGAAAACCGAAAAAAAACTATTGGGACTTCAAGATAAAAAGCTTCTGTACAGTAAGGAAACAACAAAACTAAAAGGCAACCTTCAGAATGGTAGGAGACATTTGCAAAGGACATACCTGATGAAGTGTTAGTATCCAAAAGCTATAAAGAATTTATCAAACAAAACCCCCAAAAAACCAGGTAATTTAAGAAACGGGCAAAAGACATGAATAGATATTTTTCCCAGAGACCTACAGATGGCTAACAGGTACATGAAAAGATGCTCAACATCATTCATCAGGGAAATAGAAATCAAAACCACAATAAAATACTACTTCATACCTGTCAGAATGGCTAAAATTAACAACACAAGAAACAGATGTTGGCAAGGATGCGGAGAAAAGGGAACCCTCTTAACATGTTGGTGAGAATGCAAACTGGTACAGCCACTCTGGGAAACAGTATGGAAATTCCTCAAAAAGTTAAAATAGAGCTACCCCATGACCCAGCAATTGGACTACTAGGTATTTATCTCAAGGATACAAAAATACCGATTCAAAGGGACACATGCACCCCAATGTTTATAGCAGCATTATCAACAATAGCCAAAGTATGCAAAGAGCCCCAAATGTCCATCAACTGATACATGGATAAAGAGGTGATTTTGTATGTATATATACACAATGGACTGTTACTCAGCCATCAAAAAGAATGAAATCTTACCATTTTCAACAACTTACATAACGCTAAGTGAAAGGTCAGAAAGACAGATACCATATGATTTCCCTCATGTGAAATTTAAGAAACGAAACAGATAAACATAAGAGAAGGGAGGGGAAAAATAAGAAAAACAAAGAGGGAGACAAACTATAAGAGAATTTTAATTATAGAAAACAAACTGCAGTTGCACTACTGGGTATTTACCCCAAAGATACAGATGTAGTGAAAAGAAGGGCCATCTGTACCCCAATGTTTATAGCAGCAATGGCCACGGTCGCCAAACTGTGGAAAGAACAAAGATGCCCTTCAATGGACGAATGGATAAGGAAGATGTGGTCCATATACACTATGGAGTATTATGCCTCCACCAGAAAGGATGAATACCCAATTTTTGTATCAACATGGATGGGACTGGAAGAGATTATGCTGAGTGAAATAAGTCAAAGCAGAGAGAGTCAATTATCATATGGTTTCACTTATTTGTGGAGCATAACAAATACCATGGAGGACATAGGAAGATGGAAAGGAGAAGGGAGTTGAGGGAAATTGGAAGGGGAGGTGAACCATGAGAGACTATGGACTCTGAAAACCTGAGGGTTTTGAAGGGATGGGGGTTGGGAGGTTGGGGAAGCCAGGTGGTGGGTATTAAGGAGGGCACATATTGCATGGAGCACTGGGTGTGGTACAAAAACAA